TAGATGTGCTTAGCCCATTTAATGTAAACATAAGGATACACACACAAATTGCCAAAGTTTGAAGCCATTAGAATAATGTATACTTAGTCTGCACAATCCATACCCTGAGTGGTGTAATAAAATCAAAGAGACAAAAAAAAAATTATCAGAGTATTATAAAATTTTATTAAGCATTTTGGATATTTACACTATTTATACTATTTGGACCGTTGTCCTCATCTTTATTCTCCCAGGTTTCAGCTGTTGTATGCTTCAGCCTTTCAGTTGATATATGTTGAAATTTCAAACCAAACCCTTTATTTAGTCAACAGGTGTAGTTATTCTAGTGCCACATGCCATGGTTTTTCTGGATATCACAGTTTTCAGCTATTTCCCTTTAGTAACTCAACTCTCCAAGTTTTTTGTACACCTCTGATGAGGCCAAGTATTGAACTCATAACTCTTTGGGTCCAGTCACTTTTGGATTAATTCAACTAACACTTTTATCCACTGGGTCAACATATACCACCTAAAGAAGTTTGGAGTGTACAATGGCAAAAACATAATGAATACAGCGATAACGATGAGGACAATAGTCCGAACAATGTAAATAGTGTAAATACTTACAATAACTCATCTCTGAAATAGAGACAGGTATTTTGGAAATTATTCAGTAATAAATAGAATTATTTTTAAGCTAATCTTTAAAAATTTTTTTGAAATATTTTAGAGGAGGCATGGTGGAGTAATGGATAGCGGCTTGGATTGAGGAATCAGAGAGCCAAGTTCAAATTCCAGTCGAATCCATTGCATTCACTTATGTACTAATGCCCTTGGGAAAGGTATGAATCATCTTCTTCTCCCTCCCCCTCAGCTATGGGTAAATAGCTGGACAGACCAGGTTCTATAGACTTGGATGGCAAGTGGTCTACCGCAGAAAGAAATAGCAACTTACTGTGGGAAAAAATTTGCCTCGTCAGTCATGTATTGAAAGATACATAATCACTTAAGCATGTATCATGCATGGCACATAACTGACTGTACACACATGTAAAGTTACATTCTAACACAATTTGAAAAAAAAAAGTGAAGTGTATATCTGTGTTGTGAGGGGAAAATTCTCTTTCTCTCTGGCAACAAGCTTTCTAAAGTCATTTTTATCAATACTTTTGTATTTAAACTGAACATACTTTCTAATAAATGTAATATAACAGGTACTGAACAAGTTAATTTTAAAAGCAACCCACAACTCAGCAATTGTCGTATTGTTTCAAAAATCCATATCATTATTTCCTTTGTTTTATAAAAGCTAAAAACTTGCTAGATTGCAGCATATGTGAGTATTATCAAAATTCCCTTTCTCTTTTTTTATTGTTATACAAAAACTCAAGTATGAGTTACAGTAATCTATAAATTTTAAAATTTAAAAAAAAATAATTTTACCTCAAGCAAGGTAATAAATCTCTAATACCCAGCAGGGTTACTGAATGTTAAAGAAACTGAGAAACACATATTAAAGGGAGAGAACAATGAAATAACAGGAATTAAGAAGACAAAGGATAATAATTGATATTGCATTTAAATTCTTGAAGATTAATGTTGACTGGAAAGCAAGAAGAGATTTCCCCAACCAGAAAGTGGAAGAGGAGAAACTGTTGACATAGAACAGTTACATCTAGCAATTTCATCTTTAAAATGATGAGACCTAGCTGCCAATTTAGTATTTCACTTAAAGTTGAGATACCAAAGAGAAATTAAGAATGAGTAAGATTCAATAAGATTATTGGTTACCAATGATAGTTATCCACCATTAATCTGGCAGTCATTTATCTGGTACTTATTTACACAAGAATAATTTCAGATTTCCAAGGTCACCACATGAACCTGCTTCATCTATTTGGTGGATCCAACATCAGCTGCTTTTGAACACTTTCAAAACAATGGTACTTCTCTTTTGTGCTTTTTTATTTTAACCTTGAATCAATAGCTGCATCTTCTGCAAGGAAGGTTTTCCTTGTTAGAGTCCATCTTACACATCTACAAATCTACCATTCATCCAAGCATTGAATATTGTTGCTGTATCTGGTTGACATATCTGGCCCCTGCTGTTCATCACAAGGTTTACAACAAAATCCAAAGAAAGATCTGTAATGTAATCGGTCCTGACTTGATATCATGATGTGGCTTCCCTCTGTCTTTTCTACAAATATTTTCATGGCAATGAAATCTGATGTGCTATGTTCCCTGATGACCCGACTACACGAATTTAAGTGTGCTACTCAATTGGCATCAACATCCCACCCTTTTATTGTTGAACTAGCTAAATGCAACCACCACTTCTATTTCAACAGCTCCTTTCCTCGCACTTCCCAACAGTGGAACTTTCTTCCTCTTACTTGCTTTCCTGATTACAATCTTTAAAAATTTAAATATAATGTCAACTGCCATCTTCTGTTGCCATGATCTCTGTTCTTCTTTCTTCCTTTCCTCAATCTCCCCTATACACAATCTTTTCCCTCACTTTCACTCTCCATAAACCCTGTGTGCTAGTGGCTCTCCTGCCTTGCTTGGGATGAAATGCTTAAAAAACTACCTACTGATGTCATGACTCCAGTAAGTACAGGAAATGCTTCTCATGTTATGAAGTGCCAATGGCATATTATGTCCATGACAGATAAGGTAGAAACTCTGAAATTTTTCTTTTTCCTTTATTAACCAACATGTGATGATTTACAGGGTATTTTATAGGTAGAATGAAGTAGTTAGTTCTTATGCTAAGTGTATTATAATGTAACCAACATTAAACCAGCAACAATCATTTATCTGGCATCCTAAATGCCCCAATAATGTGAGATTAGTGATGGTCAACCTGTTTGGTTTGGTTTATGATAAGGCAAATCAACCTCAGTGGGTTATTTAATGCTGACAAGATTTTTACTATAGGTTTGTATGAATAGAATATGTATTCTTTGTAAGAAATCAGTTTGTAGATCAGATTTCATTGACATATTTTTGTAAAGAGGTTTTTGTCAAGAGTCAAATGAATTTTTTCCTGCAAAAATGTATTGCTGGTAATAGATTTTTAAATATAGTTTTAGTAATATTTTTTTGAAAAAAAATGTATTGCTGGTAATATTTTTATTTCAAAAATGTATTTGTAGTAATATTTTTTTTCAACAATGTATGGATAGTAATATTTTTTCTTCAAAAATGTATGGTTAATAATATCTTTCTCTTCAAATATATATTGCTGGTATTTTTACTATAAAAATCTATTTTTATACTTTTAAGGTGTTTTGGCCCCAGTTTGGGTGTTACCTATTTGCTCATAGCTAGGACCCTAACATTTGCTACCAACATGAGTCATGGTGGACCTGAGAACAACAGCAATTAAGAGGTAGATCCACACTCCTCAAAACCTCCGAAATAGAGGCCTGGCTGCTGGATATAGTTTATTGTCATACCCAGGATGTGAGCAACTTGTATAGATATCTACCAGGTATCTTGATAGTAAGTCCTTCAGTCTGTTGTTAACTGGGGCAAAGGATGGTTTGTTAATTTTAATGTCACAAAACCTAAGCTAATCTCTATTAATCATCTGAGAGACCCCTTTCTGCTTGCCATCAGCATGGGTGATACTAACCTCTAAGAGTGTGATGTGGCACCTTCGCGGGCTAATGTTCTCAACTGACATGAAGCGGAAAGATTAAATTGAATCCATTGCTAGGTTTGCTGCTAAGAAAGTTGGTTCACCGTTTCATGCTAGACAATTTTTCTTTCTAGAATGTATCTTATATATTGATAAGTATACCATTCATCCATGCTTAGAATATTGCTGCCACATGGTCCGGTGCTCCTGCTTTATATATCTAGAGCTCCTCAATAAAATCCAAAGAAGAATCAACAATATAATTGGTCATGTTCTGGTGTCTCAGCTTCACTTACATTCACACCACTGTAAAGTTGCTTTCCTGTGCCTTTTCTACAAATACTTTTATGGTAATTGTCCAGATGAGCTTGTGGAATCTTCCACAACAAGCCAGTTAACCCCTGCTAGGAAATGCACTATTCCTGTTGTAATTTTCACCATCAGCATCTTACAAAAATATAACAAGCATTCATTGGTTAATCCCCTTCAATCTAGCTCACTGATTGGTCAATCCCGACCAATCAGATATCCTGCACATGAATAATATGTTTTTCCTGCATTCTCCATTTGAGCCTCCCACATGAAACAAGATGTTTATGAATCTTTATTCTCTATCTTGTATTAATTGTTGTGGATGGAAGATTATTGAACACACACAATTTTAAACCTTCTGATAATTCAAATCTTCTATTCCTCTCCAACACACACACATCCACAACAAGCTCTTCACTATGAGTACCTAGACTATTTGAATTTAAGCAAAGTACTAGACTGGCAACAAGGTCTTATCATTCTACAGTTGATTTGGCTAGATGTAACCATAAGTTCTATGCTAACAGTTTCATTTCTTGCATTTCTCACTTGTAGAATTCCCTTCCAGCTAACATTAATCTTCAAAAATTTCAATGCAATGTCAATTGCTATCCTCCTGATTATTCTTCTTTTGTTCTCACTCCTTTGTAATGTTTCTTTTTTCTGTTTCTTTCACATCCAGTAACACCCTTGTGTCTTAGTGGCTTTACTGTCATGCTTGGGGTGAACATGATTGAAAATAGAATCTTTAATGACATTATAATCAGAGAAAATATATTATAAATTAGCCAAAATAATTTTTAATCAATCCATATATACACTTCTTTCCATAATCATTTTAAAAGACTTCAGTAGAATTTCCTGATTAAATCAATTAAAACAAATTTCAAGGTACATGTATTTAATAATATTTTTCAATAAAACATTCAACTTATTCAGTTTTAAATAAATCATGGCGACATTATTAATCTGCAATAGTAAATCAGAGACAAAAAAGATAGTTTAAAATCATTAGCTCCAATCTTCAGATTTCACCAATAAATGAAAACAAAAGAACGGCTTACTGTGAAAAAATCCCATCAGGTCCTCTTGGCTCTAACTTGTAGATATGAAGTTCCTGGTCACTGGCAAACTGGGATAATTTTAATTGAATATCCTCTTCATACAAATTCATTCCATAAACAGTGAGAGAATGATTAGTGTAGGATGAATCCCTATAAATCATTAAAAAATAGTACAAGATTGAATATTTCAGCTTGCAGAACAATAGACTTTCTATTACATTTATATAATTAAAAAATCTATTTTTTATTGCTTTTATGGTATTTTTTATTGTTTTATTAAAAAAAATATTGAGAGTCGATACTCAGCTTTGATGAAATTTCCACTTTTAATTCAACAAAAATTGTAAACAGATGAACAACAGAACAAGATCACTACAAAATGATTGTGATCAGTTTAAATGCTACACAATTTACTTACATTATAAATTAAACAGAGAAGAAAATATGATACAGTACAAGGGAAATAACTTCAAAGAAAATGTTTACAAAAAAAACATTGATTCCAATAAAAATATTTGTCATCTGATATAATTCTTTTATAAAGTTATGCATATTAACCTGAAGCCTCCATGATTCCTATCAAAGAAGAATATCATATATATATATATATATATATATATATATATAAGAATAATGCATACAAAAAAAATGAATTAATTTATTATCTCCCTTTATTTTTTTTATACTATTCACTTAAGTGCCATATCTGATGCACATACTTTCAATAACTGACTAGGTAGATTTTCTTGCAATAGGCTGCGTTTTTTCTGCAGTCGGCTGCTTTCTAAGCAAAGCTATAGGAGCAAATCTGACTTGATATTCAACCCATAGTTTTGGGTAGGAGGGGATGGATTCATATCTTTCCCAAGTGTATTGCATGTGCATTGTGTATTGTTGCTATATCTGGTCTGGTGCCCCAGCTGTTCATCTTAAAATTCTCAACAGAAGCGAAAGAAGGATCTGCAATATAATCAATCCTGACTTGGCACCTCGACTTCAGTCACTTTCTTACTGACATGATGTGGCTTCCCTCTGTCTTTTCTACAAATATTTTTTGGCAAATGGTCTGTCAAGTTTTTTTCCTTTGTGCCCTAACTACATAAATTTATACGTGCTACTAGACTAGCATCTAGGTCCCACCCTTTTACTATTGAAATAGTTAAGTGTAACCATCACTTCTAATTCAACAGTTTCTTTTCTCATATTCCCTGTCCTGTCTGTGAAATGTCATGTTATTATATCACAGATATAATAATGCCCATAATGGGGAAATGTAATTAGGAGATTCAATCTTTCTACCATACTTCAGCAAAACATTAGACATAGAAAGAAAATGTGTGCATTTAAACTGACACCATGAGGATATGGGTTGAGATAAATAAGCTGTTTAAACAGCAAAATAATAAAAAGTAAATGTTACATACCTGTGCCACTGAGTACAGTGAGCATACATTCTAACTTTTCTTTCTTGGTCATTAATGCTTAGGTCCAGGACTGTGTTACCAACTAATCTTTTGAAAAGAAGACTTAGCCAATAATCCTAAAATGAAGAAAAAAAAACAAGAGTAAATTATATAAAAAAGAAAGGAAAGGAGGTAATCAATAAAATTACTCAAAGCCGTCAATAAAAATATCAAAGCATTCAGAAAAATATCCAAAACTTTCAATTACAAACTTTAGAGAAAGGCAATTATGGCTCACAACTACTTCCACTCTTTGATTGCTGCAAGTAAATTTTTAGTCTTGTCATTCTTCTGCTATCCATTCACATGATTACCCTGTCAGTTGGGCTCAAGAATATACAGACTACATCCCCATGCATTTAAGATAAAAACAAAACAATAAAATCAAAATGGAGCCTCTTCTTTACACCTGTGTCTACATTTTTTAATCTAGTACAAACCAAACGCATGTGTACCTTTCTATTGCTTAGCAAAATGACAGAATTTGGTAATATATAACTTGGAATAGGTTAATATGGAATAAAGCAAACTAAAGCAAATGAAACTATTCGCAAAAATTCATTAAGTAGGTTATGTAGTTTCTCCTTGCTGCTGTGTGAGATTCTCCAGGCCAACTTTCCTTGTTTGTCCCAGAAATTTAAATTATCTCTTTCTGATTGTAGTTAGTTTCCTTATTGATATCTTTTCTTAAGACTTTTGCATTGTGATTGTTAAAAAATTTAAATAAAATTCCCCAAAAGACCTAGTAGTCAGAGTTCAATTCCATATCAAAGCCTGAGCTCTTTAGGCTTATTTTCAAAGCAGGCATGTCATCTCTACTTAAGATACTGGCACAACACAATCTTTCATATATATATATATACATACATAACAGTGTTTTTTTTTTTTTTTTTTTATTGTAGCAGGGCCAGGATTAATCATGCACAAAGTAAGATGGGTCTTGTCTGACAAAGGATTTGTCATAATGATTTAAGGAAAGGTTTTATAAGGATAGATGCTCTTCCTGATCTCCTACTCAGTCACGGTAGTCCAAGTACATTCCTAGAATATTGCCATTCAAGGCCTGCGACTCCGTCCTACTACACACCCACACACACACATATATATATATATATATATATATATATATATATATATATATATATATATATATATATACACACACATGCGTGCTGGCTCTATAAGAAAAACACATCTGCCCTTTGACAGGTTTTTGTCTTGTGTGCTAGCATGCCACCATCCTTACCAGCAGAAGTCCTAGAGTGGGAGCTGGTTTAGATGCCAACCACCTGTCTATGCAGGTTGTACTGGGTTACATGTTACCATTATCAGACTGACCTGATGTTTCCTTCAGCATATTTCTGATATGGCCTTGTAACATACGTAAGCTGTGTTAAAAAAAAACTAATATTCTTGAAAAAACATTCACACTGAAAACAGCAAACATTGTATTTATTTCTAGAAAACAATAAGATAATCTTAAGATTAAGAAATGAAAATTCAGCGTTATTCCATATCAATACAAATGGAATAAATATTTATTTTCGAAAAGACCAATAACTTATATTTTGAATTAGTGTTGATGTCAAGAACTCATAGAAAGAAACACAAACCGGTCGTGGGTCAAGGGTTCGGAAATCAAGCAGTGCGTAGTGACCTTTATAGAAGGATTGTCTCATGACAACTTTAACACCTTTGCGAGCTGATATGCCAAGTTTATCCATCCACCTAAAGAGAGGAATACAATTAAAAACAATAAATATAAGATTTTTCAAATATCATTACATGTTTCTAAGAGAAAATCATTATTGTGTTAATATAAAAATAAAATGTTAAAGCTAAATATAAAAATTCACATAACTAATGAAAATATAATTATTTAAAAAAACTATTGTAAAAGGAACACTCCTGTTATTTAGTATAAGAATTGGAACATAAAATATTGTTGACATTAATATTGAATTATAGCTTAAATTGTATATAACTAATAAAAGATATGTGTTAGTTGGCAATAAATAGTGAATCCAAAAATTTCAAGGCAAAACCATTTCTATATTTTCAACATTATTCATTTGTTGGATTACCACTCTCTGATGATAACAACACACAGCAAGATATTGAATTAACATCCCCTGATAATTACAGGTGGTTTGAGATTTGAAAGGCTCCGTTTTTTTTGTTTTTTTTTAGGTGACTTTGATAGCAACAAGACGTCCTCTTCAACAATCCAAATTTAAAGTCTAGCCAATTTACAATGCAAGTGTTATATGAAAATTTGTCGTATAATCATATTGTGTCTAATGTCACCACAAATGTATCCACACATTTCCAGTGTTTGGTTTTTTTAAGTCAACAAATGGTAGTCAATTTATGCAACTGATGATAACTCTCTATTAAATTTTATTCCTCACCCTAAGGCCTTTCCTGTTCTTCTTTCTTCCGTTACACCTCTCTCTAGAGCTTTCATATATTTCCCTCTCTCCCTTGTTCCTCACTCTCACACATACACTTTCACTGAAATTTATGTTTTATGCCTGGAGATATATTTTCTGTTTTCTTTTTTGAATTTGTAGCTCTGATGGAGTGATGAATTGGCTTGTGATTACGATTCCAATAATTTTTAACCATGGAATATTAGCGTTTGAGCCTATATATATATACAAAAAAAAACAAAGATTACATCAACATCGGAATAGACTATTTCAAAACGTCCCTAACAGCTTTCGTCAACCAAACATATATATATATATATATATATATATATATATATATATATATATATATATATGAAGGGAAAGAACTTCGGGAAGATTACAAAGAAGTAAAAATAGTTATTTCCCCTTACATTTTTAATTATTGTTCTAATATTTTTAAATGGCTGGATAACAATTCAATTTATTGAAAGTTTTAATCGCTAAGAATCATTCAGAGTTAAATTATACTTACAAAAACTTTCCAATCCTTGATATGTCAAATTTTTTGCAGCATTACAGTATATCATTCGAAAAAGAATGTATCCTGATTTCCATAATGCTCAACAAATCTGTAGCTTTTTCACTTAAATTTCCATTTCAAAATAATAAGAGTTTAAATTATCTTCTTTAATTATGTAGATAAAGTTTTTGAAACTTTTCAACCACCAACCTTAGTTAATAAACCTAATAAAAGACATCATATGAAATTTATAATTTATTTTATTCATGTATTTTTTTGTGTAAAAAGTAGAGGAATATATTGAATATAAATTTAACAATCACAAAAGTATATAAAATAGACTGCACAATAAAAATTATGAATTTTATACAAGTAGCAATTTTCATTTGATAAAAGTGTATTGCACTTTATTTTACTGTAGGACAATATTTACATTGCATTTACTGCTATTATACAACGGCTGTGTCTAAAGCAAGAAGCTGCTACCTCTTCACAACAGATTTGAATTCACAAGCAAATACCCTTTTGAAAGGTATAAATATATCTCTTCTCAAGATTACACAGGATTTTATTTTAGTCTTGTGATAGTATTCTGATTAATCACAAGTTTTATATTTACTGGTTGTATCCAGAATTTTAGTCTTAAAATAGAATCCTGATTAATCACAAGTTTTATATTTACTGGTTGTATCCAGAATTTTAGTCTTAAAATAGAATCCTGATTAATCACAAGTTTTATATTTACTGGTTGTATCCAGAATTTTAGTCTTAAAATAGAACTTGATTAATCACAAGTTTTATATTTACTGGTTGTATCCAGAATTTTAGTCTTAAAATAGAATCCTGATTAATCACAAGTTTTATATTTACTGGTTGTATCCAGAATTTTAGTCTTAAAATAGAATCCTGATTAATCACAAGTTTTAAATGTACTGGTTGTATCCAGAATTTTAGTCTTAAAATAGAATCCTGATTAATCACAAGTTTTATATTTACTGGTTGTATCCAGTCTTGCATGATTTGGTTTTCTCTTCAAATCTCTTTTCTCTGTCTATTTGCATTGATAGGACAGCAGACCATAACATTACTTTTTGCTTTCACACAACATTAACCTTGTTTTTTTTTTTTTATTGGAACATGGGAATTACATTACAAAGCTAATAAAAGTGTAATAGCCACATGAAATACAAAGCAACATAAAATTTGTGTCTATTATATAAGTAAAATGCAAGTGGGTGTCAATAAAAATTGACATAAAGGGTGACCCTGAGTTGGAGGTACTGACAAACTGAGGTTGTAAAGGGAAATGGCGCCTCTGTGACCCACTCCCAACCTTTGTTTGGTAACGATAATTAAGTAGCTAATTGCAGACAACAATTATCAACTGATGTCTGCAGTTGAGAATGAAAAATGAGCAGGAGCACTCATTTTATAACAGGGTAACTGCCGCTCTTCTAGTAGGAGGCTATAAAAGAGGAGTTGAACATGGTACGCGCACCTAATGACACAAGTCGCAGGGCCAGTCCCCACTCCACACGTTAACCAATCTCATCATTCCAACCTCGTGTAAGTCACCCCACTTTTTTTCCACATGAGGGTATGCAAAACAAAGCAGTTAACAGCAACAAAATTGGGATTATAAGATTGAGTTCAAATTCCAGTAGTGATTATCATGCTAACTTTCGCATAAATACCCTTCAAACGGTATGAATCCGTCTCTTCTCACTCCAGCTCATGATTAATGGCAGTGCAGACTCAGCTCTCTAGCCTTAGTTGGTAAGATTTAATTGACTGATTCATTCATTTTCTCTGGCTTATCAACCCTTTACAGGTTATTTAAAGCCGGATATTATTTTTAGATTGCAAGAATCTTTTTTTTTTTTAGATAATAATGATTGAATGATACAAGTCTCATTAATAACTAACCCACAGTTGAGAAGAGAAGAGCTGGATTCATACCTTTCCCAAAGGTATTTGTTCATAAATGAATATAACAAACCCAAATGGAATTTGAACTTGGCTTTTTGATTAACAATTCTGAACCATTATCCATTACACCACCCACACACCCAAGCTTACAGCAGTACTGACTAAGCTAAATGACACCCCCAGCACACAATATAAGAGTACATTAGAAAACAGAATACATCAGATCATATTTTATGCTACTAGTTTATAACACAAAACACTAGGTGCCAAAATTTCACGTTGACTTGAAAACTTATATATATATCTCAACATAAGTAATGTAAGTTTTGTAAAGACATAAATGCATCCACAATAGCAGAAGTGATAACTACTTTAATTTTTCTTTTTGTAATCATATGTAAAATTTAACATCTTTCATATACAAATTAAATGTAAAACAAAGGAATAAATGCAGTGATCAATAATGGCCTTACATGAAACCTGCAATGTAAGTGTCCGACAGTCCAATACTTCCACCACCAAAAGCTGAACTAGTCTCACCAAGCCATAATGGTTTTCCAGGACTGGTCTTTTCCAGAATATTGAAGGCTACATCTAGTTCATCATGAAAACTGTCCAGTATATAAGAATCCATGAACTGATCAGCAGTGGCTTTCCGTCCATTCACATAGTAACTAGATAAGAGAAAAATAGTTAAAAAGAGATTAAAATGAGCAAGAAGACATCAAATAAGTGTGTAGCAGATAGACACATATAAGTTTATAACCAATTCAGCAGTAGCAAGCACTTTTCAGCTTTCAAATATGTGTAAAAAAGAGAACAAGGGGATTATGTGTGCTGTGAATTGAAAGATAGAATGCCAAAATCAGTATCCTGTGCAGTAGTCACACATGGCTTAAATTACAGACAATATTTTTAAACTCACCAACAGAGTAAGTTCAGCTTTTCATTCATCTTTTATACAGAGACACTCTTAAGAACATTTCTTGAAAGTTTCCATACACAAAAAGTTCCCAATAAAAAATTCTATTTCACTGTTTTGTTAGTCTATTTTCTAAACCATTTCAACAGTTTTAGTTTTTGTTCAACAGATGATACGTTCTCGACTTCAAAGAGTGACCCACCAAACCCAATAACAACTGTTAGCTTTTTGAAATACATAATTTTCATTGTTAAATTTTTTAATCTACATGATTTCATAATTCAAGAGAAAGAAAAATATTTGCCTTTATTGGAGTATTTTGAGTTTATTAAAATTTTAAAGTATATTGGGTTCACTGAAAAGAAATAACTTAGATCAGGATTTCTCAACAAGTGTGCCTGAGTGCACTAATACACTCTGAAGCAGTAGCCCTCTACTTTGAGTTGCTCTTGGGTCTTATACTGGGTGAACATTGTATCCAGGTCTGCCCTAAACTAACAGAAGAGTAACTCATGAATTACTTTTACATTTTAAAAAAATCTTTATTATTACTAAACTAGAGACACCAAGCACATGTCTAAATCAAATCTTTATCATTTGATATTTTAAACAGTTGTTAAATTCCTTAATCTTTAAGAAGGAGTGGATAATCCTTTCCCATTTGCTATCCTCAAGGAATTTAAATCAGTCATTATCAGCCTCTCTAAACAAACAAATTGTGGATTCTTCATAAATGCCTTGAAATAAAAACTGTTCCAGTAATCTTCTTTGGGAATGCTAAACCAAAAAATTCATATTTTCAAATTTCATGATTAATTTTTCCTTATTAAAATTTAAAGTGCGCCCCCAGAGTTTTAGCCATTTTGCAAATGTGTCCGTAAGTAAAAATAATTGGAAAACACCGACTTAGATAAATATCAAAATGCATGTACATCATTGGAAGAGTTATTTATTCAAATATACTCAACTTTATAGCTGTTAGCAAAATTACATTTTCTTTTCAGCCTTTATTCAAATTACTTTATTTAATATCATAAACATTTTTTTTTCAAATAGAACGTTTTTATCCATTGAGAAATATTATAATCTTTCTTTTGAGTCCCTGTAGTTTTTTTTTCACCAATGTTCACTCAGTATAAGGCCCAAGAGCAACTCAATGTAAAGGGCTACTGCTTGGTAGTGCCTTTTCTTATGCACATGTCAAGAGGGCATTGTGATGATCAGGAAAACTGAGCATCTGTTCCACAAAGCAGAAATCTTTGTAAAGAAGCTTTCCATGTGGAACATACGTTTTATTAATGGAAAATGAAGAGATGATAGATGATGCATATTTTTTGTATGGGCCATGGCGGATCTCAGCTGCAAAGGTCAGAGCTGGAGTAACTAAGGAATGCCACACATCAGAACACTTGCCATTGAAATAAACACAGAGTAGAGAGAAGTTTGCAATTTCATCTTTGAGATGGAGGTTGTGGGGTGGAAAATAATTCATCACCCATAAGGCAGAGTAGACAATTTAGGAATTCTATCAAGATAGGCAAGTGATGGGTGGGCAGCTCTAGCCCAGATATGGCAGTAGTTCTCCATTTTTCACTCTAATTTGGCTTTTGTAGTTATACCCTAACTTCAATGCTCGGGATAATGCAAAACCTGATATTGGTTTGGTCCGTTTTGTTTTATGGCATATCAACCTCAATGGGTTACTTAATGCCAACAATGTTATTTAAGATGGTAATGTTTTTCTTCAAAAATCTATTTCTGGGGATATATTTTCTTGAAGAAATCTATAGCTGGTCATATCTTTTCCAAAATATGTATAGCTGTTTGTATTGCTGGTATTTTTTAAAAGTATTGCTGATAATAATTTTTCCTTCAAAAATTATTGCTTGGAATAATTTTTTTTCTTACAAAGTATTTCCGGTATTAAAACCTATTTTTACACAAGTTTGGGTGTTAACTATTTGCCCATACCTGGTACCCTAACAGGTGCTACCACCCTGGGTCGGGGTGGACCTGGGAACACCTGCAATTAAGAGGTGGTTCTAAGCTCCTCAAAACCTCCTGATCAGAGGTTTGCTGTTGGACGTAGTTTATCGTCTTACCCAGAATGCGGATGTAGTTTATCATCATACCCAGGATGGAAAACCTGATATTGATTCTTGTATGCTGTTTCATGTGGGATGACAACAGAATCGATCATAAAAAACATAAAATATAAATGAAAAATAACTCACTGATGAATAGTCACTGCATCAAGAGAAGCATGTGCCTCCTGAAGAAAGCTAAAGAAAGAAATTGAATAGTTAGATCACATAAAAACATACAAATTATGATTCAATTATTTCTGTCTTTTCTTCTAAGATTTCTCTTATTGAATTTTACAGATTTTATGTTTCAGTTTAATTATATTCTATCCACATTTAAAATGTCCTCCTTAAAATGAATTAGATTAACCTTATTCATTTTAAGGAGGATAGATCTTATATACTTCTGTGTGATTATATTGTATACATATTTCAAAATTTTAATTCAGGAAGCCTGTTATAGCATGAATGCTGCTGTAACAATTGGATTACAAAATTCAACAGTCAAAGAATCTCAAATCTAAGCATATCGTTTTATCAGTTATTCTCCGCATATGTTTGATGCTGCCATCTTTATTTCTGATTCACACTTTTTTATAAACACCAATTGAATGATGAACTGAGTAATTGTTATAGAGTAGTTTCACAGTGGAGACTTGTATTTCACTAAGTCAGTCCTAAAAAGGTTCGACATACAAAACGTTAAGAACTTGATATAATAGTTAATGATGCAGCAATCTAGTTGTGGTGGTGGATACTTTAATGTCCGACATCGACTGACTCATCAACTCACTGAGCCCCTTGGTGACTGCTACTACACCTACTTTTTATAGGTGGGAGAGTCTATTAACAATAGAATAGGTATGTTCCAGTATAACAGTAATTGCATTAAAAGACAACCAAAATTAAGATGCAAAAAGAAGTCAAAAATTAATAACTGACAATGGTTATGGTTAATTTATTAACTGTTTGTAGGTTATTTAAAGCCAAAACATTTTCTGGATTGTAATTCTTTTACAAATGAATATTGCATTAACAATTTATTTATATAGGACTAGCAGTAGAGCCCGGCGTTGCCTGGGGATGTAACAGTAAGAGATAGATCAAGTATTGACCATCATAAAGACTGAAAAATAAAATTGACAAAGATTATTGTTTAAGGTTGACGGACACGCATGTCTTAACTAGTTTTGTTTTTTTGTTTTTTTTACGAATTGGTCAAACCCAAACTCAAACAAAAACATTGTTTTCAATTGTTATGAGTCTACCGATTGAATAGAATTTTATTATAAACAATTGTCTTGTAAATGGAATTCTGAATGTAAAAAATAAAGAAAAAAGTGTGCAAGACAATAAGAAACACTACCTGTCAAAAAAAAGTGAAGTTTTGTTGAAATCAGTTGAAAAATGTAAGAAATCCGATCCCATATATAAATGAACACACACACACACATTATTTTATAATAAGTATAACTCAATACGAGTTGTTCCCCTTCCATTCTCGTGATGCCTCTTGTGTTTTCAAATTGAATTCATGCAAAAACAATTGTGTTTTTCCAATGTTTGGCACTGTCAGAACCACCACAAGGTAATTTTATGTAGTCCTGTGAAGTTTTGTTGAAATCAGTTGAAAAATGTAGGAAATCCAATCCAATATATAAACGTACAGACACACACACACACACAATCTGCGTTTTATAATAAATAAGATAATGATGATTTTTTTCAGATGTATGTCCTTCTATTTAACCCATTACCAACTGGTGGAGATGGATTCATACCATTTCCAAGAGTATTTGCATGTAAGTAAATGTAATGAACTTGTAATGACCAGCAGCAATCAACTTCCCTTACATTCAACTTAAATAACCTTTCCCGTATATTATCGGTTACTACAGGAGGTTTCAACATCAGCCTCAAACAACATGTACACAATGCCTGCACATCTGTTATACTGGAACATACCTATTCTATTATTAATAGACTCTCCCACATATAATAATTAGTAGTAGTAGCAGTCGTCAGGGGGCTCAGTGAGTTGGTGAGTCAGTCGATGTCGGACATTAAAGTATCCACCACCACAACTAGATTGCTGCGTCATTACCTATTATAACAAGTTCCTAACATTTTGTACGTTGAACCTTTTTAGGACCGACTTAGTGAAATACAAGCCTCCACTGTGAAACTACTCTATAACAACATCAACATTCCAATCATTGACACAACTGCAATGACCACACCTCAACTTCCAACTATTGACACAACCAGAACAACTGCATCTCAACTTCCAATGATCAGAATGACCACACGTCAACATTCCATTGTCGACCAGTCCAACCACCCTTCAATTACCAGACCCTCCACCCCACAGCTACTGAAGTCTGCTTTGTAAATAAACTTTGTATTCATCTTACATATCCTCGTTCTGTTGTCCATTTTGTTTCACCTGTCAGATTTCACATCTTTAATTCAAAAATGTTAGTGGGCCCCTTGTGACCCCTTACCGACTTGGTGTGCCTCGACTGTTTCACATCACGTACATTCCTCAGAGTCCACTACAAACTCAACTTCCTGACAATGGTTAATCAAATAATAAACATCAAGATGTCATTACTACTACAACTAGATGATATGAATTTACATAAAAAGTATCTTTCTTGTTTTTCCTGAGCTCTCATTGCCACTGTAATGTCTTAATAATCATAATCACAGCCCTCAATAAACCTTTTATCAGCAGCATCTCTGGGTTATAAAAACAAGCAAAGCCTTAAATAAGTCTTTCTTCTGGGTTTTTCCTCCTTCAAATTAAGTGACATGAACATTTGACACTGAAGCAAAAAGGACTGTGAACATTTCACACTAAAACACACCAACAAGGTAAGTCATACTGAAATATATTCACTAATATTTGATTATGCAATTTACTTCTAGGAAAAGGGACTCTTGTTTTAAATTTTTCTTTTGTTGATTCTGTTTAATAAATATTATCTTGCATTGCAAATCATTTGGTCCATTATTTTGTGTATGTACCCTTTCACCATCATTCTTTCATGTACTGTAAAATATTCTCATAAGAAAACTTACACATTAATTATCAAAGTAGATAACAAAATAAACCACCATATTTGATATTTTGTTTTTTTCCGATAAGATAAATACAAAATTTATATAGTTAGAACTGATCTCTTAGCTTGACCAAAGAAGCAATTATTCTATATAGACAGAAATTTTGACATAGAAGGTATGCAAGTTATCAATGGTAATCATGAAATCAGCCATTTCCATAGAGGAAACAGTAAGCATTCATTGACTGAAGAGTTAATGTTACTGTCAGTTAAAATTTATGCAATCTTTTTCTTAAAACAGTTATTCAGGAATTTAGACTTCTAAAGTCCATGTAAGGAGTCATGGTGAAGTAATGGATAGCAGTTTAGTTTGAGGAGTTGGAGAGACGAGTTCAAATTCCATTTGAATCCATTGCATTCACTTACGTGCTAATACTCTTGGGAAAGGTATTAATACTCTTCTCCCTACGGGTAAATAGCAGGACAGACTTGGTTCTATAGCCTTGGATGGCAACTGGTCTACTGCAGAAAGAAATGGCAACATACTGTGGGAAACAAAATCTGCCTCGTCATTCATGTATAGAACGATACATGATTGCCTTAGCATGTATCATGCATGGCACATAACTGACTGAAAGTCCATTAAATGGTATAGTTATTTCTAGTGTTTGTGTGTGTTTCTTCCAAAGCTTTTGCCTTTGAGAGTGTGAAGAGATAACATGTCACTTACACTGTTTCTGTCCTAGTTACATGTGTTATCCATTTTTTTTTTGTGTGCTGTGACTGGAAGTGTTCAGATTATGTGAATTTTCTTACTTTGTAAAGTTCTCTGTAATTCTTTAATATTGGTATGTTGGATCAAGGATTCATTCACTTGAAGCTAGTTTTAATCATTGATCTGACAAAATGTTTATATATAGATGATAGTTTAGAAATTTCTGAATGAGTTTGACGCTATGCATGATATTCACTTGATAAATCTAGAACTAACAATGCTATTTATGAACAGAACATAAGTTTTCAGATTAATATTTTGGTTACCTCTAGTACAACCTGAGTTCAATTTCCTTAACACCAAGAAGAAAAATGAAAAAAGAACTCCCATCATTTCCAACATATGCATAAACCAGCTCAGTTCTTAGAATCAAACAGCCAGTACTATCCACATGCAAATGATTTGATTATAATGGTGAATGTGTATGTAAAAAGCAATACTAGTCATAAATTAATAATTATTGAAAATAGTTTTAACTAAAATGTTAAAAAGAACTTATCACCTAATCATTTATACATGACAGTTAAGAAAAAACTTACTTCCTTAGAAATTGTTCATGTCTACGTTTTCGCATGGTCTGTGCTGTGACATCAGGTCCAATGACAAGACTTTGGTCCATGCAAGGTACCTGGGATCTAAATTTTGACAGACGCCTGAAGTCCTTACCTAAGACAGTTGGGTCTATGCTATACCCAAGCAAATGGTGGAAAGCATCAGGCTCTTTAAGAATTAAAAGAAAAAATAATAAAATTAAAATCATTTTAAAAACTGAAAAACTTTTTATTAAAAAATTCACTACATACAAAGCCGAAGTGATATTCATGGAAGAATGATATAGAAGTGTGCAATATATGTGTTAGACAATGAAGTGTGTGATATATGTGCTAGAGAATGAAGTGTGTGATATTTGCACTAGAGAATGAAAGGTGTGATATATGCACTAGAGAATGAAGGGTGTGATATATGCGTTAGAGAATGGAGGGTGTGATATATGCGTTAGAGAATGGAGGGTGTGATATATGCGTTAGAGAATGGAGGGTGTGATATATGCGTTAGAGAATGGAGGGTGTGATATATGCGTTAGAGAATGGAGGGTGTGATATATGCGTTAGAGAATGGAGGGTGTGATATATATGTTATAGAATGAAGTATGTGATATAATTGAAGGCTATGATAAGGAGATGTGTGACACGAAGAAAAGAGGTGGTAGGAAGTAAATATTATCCAGAATGTTTCTTCTGCTATGGACACTACTAACCAAGTGTTTTATGAATTATTTTCTTTCTAGCCCACACTGAATGTTTCAAAATATGCAGAATGTTCTTTTAATTGGTTATTGTTTGTAATTTTTCCATTTAATCCAAAACAAAATATTCAAGCCATGCATGAATAAGCAACTTAGATTTTCTACATGAAATTATCATCCAGAACATTTCCATATATTTTTTTCTTTTTCATGTTTTATATGCATATATTTAGTACTACTAAAGGGACAACTCAACGCTGCCGATTGAATACCACCAACTTAGTACTGAGACAGCTCAAGACGGGGATAACTCAGCACCAGAATAATGTAACTTTTTTTTATAACTGAATAAAAATAAAAACAAAAAAACTAACTCATATTTTACATAATGCCTTTTCAGATGCCTTATTTGAAGAAAAATATTTACTAATTAAGGTTTAATCCTTAATAAATTACTTTTATTGAGTTATTAAAAAAAGTTATGTTTTTCTAGTCCTGAGTTGTCCCAGTACTCAGCCAGCATTGTTGAGTTGTCCTGCATCCAAATTTGGGTGCTCTTTTTCTTGTTTTCTGTTAAAACACTTCCCAGGTGCAAATGGATTGATATCTTGTTATAAGATGCAAAAATGTATGCAAGAAAGGAAAACAAATCTCAAAAGAAATATTCTAGCATCAAATAAAATTAACTAACCATTGCCAAGTTCCAAACCAGCCAAACAGTAGCCTTTTGCGGCACTTTGGTGCAAAAGGCTGGAAGCATTGATGCTTGGATCCCAAGCATTATTGGTACGCTGCAGGACATTCAGATCAAAAACAAGCAACCAATCAGGAACTGAGCGTACAAATTTATTCACATAGACCCAGTCAAACACTAGAAAGAAATAAAACAAAAATTAAGTCAGAAAATAAGAGATTAAAATTTCATTAAACAAATCAGCTGTTGTTATAGCAACACAATCAGAACAGAACGATAAAACTTGATATCTTATGAGAGTAACTTCACTATATTCAAACAAGAAGTACTTCACAATATATATTACTTGACATACACATTCCAGCCATTCCTTTTGTTTTATGATAAAAAGGTGTGTGAGTTCTGCATGGTTGATGAATGAGGTGGAACAAACACATTGAAAAATAGCTGAATATAATGCAAGGAAAGTTGTTTATCTGTGTCATGCCAGTTTTATTTTTTTTGTCATAATCCATTTTACACATCTACATAGCTACCACTCATCCATGCATTGAATACTGTTGCCATATCTGGTTTGGTTTTCCCTGCTATTCAGCTCAAGTTTCTTGAGAAAATTCAAAGAAGGATGTACAGTATAACTGATCCTGACCTGAGATCTCAATTTTAGTCACTTTCTCACAGACATGATGTGGCTTCCCTCTGTCTTTTCTACAAATGTTTTCATGGCAACTGCTCTGACAAGCTTTTTTCCCTGGTGCCCTGACTACATGAATTTAAGCATGCTACTAGACTGGCATTTAGGTCCCACCCGTTTAATGTTGAAATAGTTAAATGTAACTGCCACTTCTACTCCAACAGTTTCTTTTTTCACACTTCCAGACTGCAGAATTCCTTTCCTCTTACTTACTTCCCTGGTAACTATAATCTTCAAAAATTTAAATGCAGTGTCAACCACCATCTTTTGTTGACTTGAACCCTGTTCATCTTTTATCCTTTACTCAATCTCCCCATACCCAGTCTTTTCTCTCACTGTCACTCTCTGTAATCATGCTTGTGGCTCTCCTGCCTTGCTTGGGGTGAAATATTTAAAAAAAAAAAAATCAAAATACTGATCAGTACAAGTCAAGTTTGAAATAACAAGCATTATCCACACAAACGCTTGTGCGTTAAACAAGCAAAATGTGTTATGTTTGTGAGGCATATTTCTGGATTTTTTTTTTTTTTGCTTTTTTTCTACTGATTCTCATTAAACACAAGATGAGAAAGCCATTCAAAGTAAAAGGTTGCTGAATGAGCTGTGTGATATAAGTGAAAATTATAGAGGATGAGGAAGATAAATAAATGCTTACCCTTAACTTGGAGAGGTTAAAAATTTAGTTTTCTGAGAAGCATTAGCATATGAGTCAGCTCCACAATGTAGCATTCTTGAGAAAAAGTAGCTCAAGTAGAATTTTCTCCTTACGTTTGTAATATGGAAGTAATTCTGTGGCATTACTATGGGAAGTCCGAGTAAATCCTCTGCTACAAGACTGTGTAAACAATTTTGAACTCTTATCAAGCCAGCCTTGGATGAAGTAAGGATTGAACAGCTCTAGGCTAGATGTGGCAGCAAAGATCCATTTTTAGTCTAATCAGACACTTGTAAAGATAAAGCCAGGAAAACTAGACTTTATGAATTTAAGTGCAGTACTAGACTGGCAACAAGGTTTCACCAATATAAAATTGAGTTGGATAGATGTAACTATAAGTTTTATGGTAAGAGTTTCCTTTTTTGCACTTGTGGAATTTTCTTCTGGTTCCATGCTTTTCCACCAACTTTATCTTTGAAAATTTAAATGCAATGCTAATTACTTACAGAAACAAGTGCAAAAAAAAATTCTCTATTCCCCAATTTATAGGTAGAAGCACACAAATGCATACTAACATTTCTTCCTAGCAAATAAAATAGGCCAATTCTTGGTTTCATATAACTCAGTCTGTCTTGAAGTCAGAATGCTATGTTTGCTAATCCAAATACTGTCCTCCTGATTACGTTTCTTTTTGTTCTCACTCTTTACTGAAGCTTCTGTTTTCTAATTCCTTCCCATTCAGTAACCCCTTGTGATTAGTGGATTTACTGCCTTGCTTGAGTTGAAATTGTTTAAAAAAAGCACTGTGGAAAGATTCAGGTACATTTCAGGGTGTTAGAAGGAGCTATTTTCCCAGTATCTTTAGCAACAGATTGTAGACATGTTCCACTTGAGATCTGGAGTGAACTTGAGTCCCATTAGACATTCAAAGCTTGGAGCCTCGAGTGTACATTTTAATTATAACTGAAGAAATCTCAGTTATGAAACAACACAAGCTTGATTTTTAGGCACTGAAAGCAATATTTTTTTTCTCCATTGGTTTTGTAGAGGTAGGTCAGAGGAGAGATCAGCTGCAAGGCTCTAAACCTTTTGATCTTTGAACCTGAAACCATAAACTGCCGTATCATTTGCATAGATGTTTACTAACTGCATGAGAACACAAGGTAAAAAAAATCACCTCACAAGTGTAATTACTTTTCATTAAGAATCTATTTTCCATTTTAAACATGAGGATGAATATATGTCTATAATTCTGAGATGAGGTAATGTAATTATTTACACTATTTAAATTGTTCTGAGAGCTGTCCCCATCTTCATTGGCCTATTCACAATGTTTCAGCCATTGTACACTATGGCCTTCTTCAGATGAATGGAATTTTGAATTGAACCCTGTATTTCATCCACTAGGGCAGATTTTTCTAGTTCCATGTGCCATACCTCTTCCAGATGTCTCGGTATCAGTTATCTCCCTTTTAACTCAACTTTCCAAGTTTTTGTTCACCCCCTGCTGTAACCAGATATTGAACTCACAACTCTTTGGGTCAAGTCACTGGATTCACCCAATGCTTTTATCCACTGGCCCATATTCTTCCAAACACAAAGAGAAGAGAAAAATCATCATAACTGCGGCTATGATATTGAAATTTTCCTTGAATATTTTCATAGTTATTTCATCAACTACATTTTTAATACCAATGTGTAAACTAAAAACAAAAGCAACCTACATCTTTTCATCAGTGGTGGAGCTTGACAGGTACTCTGCTTCTTCTTTATGTGTCATGCTTGTCCAGCCACTTTTAAAATTCTCAATCCACTCATACACATTTCTATATATTAATGCATTGTTGCCATATTATGTTAAAAGTCTCCAATGAATTTCAGTCCCTAACAGACATTCCAACCAGAGAAATTGTATTACTGCCTGCTTTTTGTCCCTCTTCTGTACACACTGCTAGTGGAGCAGTCATGTTTATACCTTAACAGAATCAATAAGACAGGCATGATCAAGCGCAAACTTTGATCATGTGACCATAATAGTACCAACTATAAGCAGGTATGAGCAGAAGACAGTGTGACAAACCAAGAAATATATTATGGTGAAAATGGTGATAGTCCTTTGTATTTTCTCTGATAACCCCTTCACATAAGGTAGACAGACTGCTTTCTGAGTGTTGTTGTCCTCCTCCTCTTGTACTCACCTATCCCATTTTCTTGGGGCTGCTGCCATGTATCCAGAGTAGTTGTTACATTGTAGAGTACTACTTATAATGACTAATTCTTTATCCAATGTCTCTGGGTCGCCACTTATGACTTTTGCTCATGTTGTAAGCAGCAGACAATCCCTTTCTTTATGCTGTATGGATGGTGGGAGTTGAAATTGAGGTACTGTCCAGTGAATGTCAGTTTATGGTATTTGGATGTCTTGAACCAATGCTCTGTTCGAGACATTATGGGATTGTGTTGTTACTCTCTTTCTCCATTGTGAACTGTATTGAAGGTCTTATTGAGTTCACATGGTCCAGTAGAACCTGAACATCTTCCTGGTGTGGGCAGAGTATGAAGGTGTCATCTATGTACCTTAACTATAGAGTTGGCTTTAGAGATATAGATTCTAATGCCATTTCCTCAAAGGATTTCATGTATATATTCGCCATTGCTGGTGATAATGGTGAGCCTATTGCTAAGCCCTCATCCTGTAGATATATGTGTGATCCCATTCCAAAGTGTGTTGTTTGTGTACAGAAAGTCAACATCTCCATCAGATTATCTATTGGAATACTGGTTCGTTCTTCTGTCTCTGACTACTGAGAGTGCCTCCTCTGTGGGTACCTTGGTGCCCAAGCTCTCCATCTGGTTGGATAGGATGGGAGCATCTTTGATTATTTCCAAAAAGTTGTTAGAGTTTTGGACATATGAAGGTGACTTTCCGTTCAATGTGTCAAATATATATATCTACAAGGAAGTGACTCAGAGGGTGGCACACAGAGCCTTGGCAACTAACATTCGGCCTGATTGGAATACCATCTTTGTGAATCTTAGGGAGACCGTATATGTGAGATAGCTTGGTGTAACACTGTGACGGCTGTCTATACATGTTATGTGTGAAGTGATCCTTGTTCTTGTTTAGTATCTGTGACAGTTTGCATTCTGTTTTCATTGTAGGATCCTTTTTTACCTTGCTGTAGCTACCATTACTAATGATGTCTTCCAGCTTTCTTGTATAATCTAATTTGTCCATCACTACAGTTGTATTGCCTTTGTCAGCCGGTAGTATGATGACATTTTTGTTCTTCTGTAGGGATCCGATTGCCAGTCTCTCTAGTTTCGTGATGTTTGACTTGGGCGGTTTGGCCTTCTCCAAGATCTGTCACCCCTTCTACCTTAGTTCATCTACCTGAACCTGAAGGAAGTTCAAGAACACTTCCTTGATTCTGGCAATGATGTCCAAGTATGGCACTTGCCTGATGATTGTGACAAAGTTGAGACCCTTATTTAATACTGACTCCTCAGAGGCACTCAGCTGATATTGGCTGATGTTGATTACTGCTTTCACTGGTGGGTGATGGACCTTGTGCATCACCTTCTGATCTTTCAATCTGTTTAATTTTTGTACTTGGCGAGCCTTGACTACATTGAATTTATGTCTGTAGGATTTATCCAGGTCATTTTGGATCTTCTTTGGTCTTCTTCACTGGTAATTCTGTTGACAAAATTGTCGAGCCTCTGGGAGATATGAGCTTGTAGTCTCTGTTTTATACAACGATTGTACTGAATTCTCTCTCAGATGAGGTGTGTCCCACTTTTTCTGTGACTAGACAGGCTCTCCTTGAATTGACAGGAAGTCTTGGTACTAAGCCTGAAGGGATGAGTTGTAGGTTTCTGCATCAGCGTCAAATGGTTCGATATTCATCCTAGTTTCTGGTAGGACTTTACAATTTGTCTCCATATTTTTGATGTATCTGTCTATATTTCTGAGATGAGGTATTATGTACACTATTTACAATATTTGAACTATTGTTCTCATCTTTGTTGCCGTATTTATCACAAAGTTTCGACCGTTGTACACTCTGGCCTTCTTTAGGTGGTTGGAATGTCGAACTGAACCATTTATTTTGTTCAGTGGGGTAGACTGTTCTGTTCTAGTTATTTTCATTACTATAAACACTATTTCAGTGTCTATGAAAACATGTGCATGCTGTAAAACAGAGGTGTTCAACCAGGGTAGGGGGAATTCATTTACATTTTTGCTTTTTTTGTTTTATATACAGAATTTAGAGACCATCAGGATGGAAAAAAATAATCCATATAAATGTATATAGAAAGGAATAAAAATCTTCAAAAATATACTTATTATATGAAATGCATCATTTGAGTCAAGGTTGAAAAGTGTGGAAATGACATTTTGACATATGACAAAAAGGGTGAAAAAAAAACAACTTCAAAATAATGTTTATAGTAATAAAATTTCATATATATATATATATATATATATATATATATATATATATATATATATATATGTAGCAAATGTAAATGGATATAAATCCGACAGAATGAAGAAAATTTGGAAAAAACAAACAAAAATCCTTAAATGCAATTATGTTTAAAATGAATGAAATATCGACGCGTCGACGTTTCAGTTTAATAAACCTTTTTCAAGACAATATTCATTAAAATACAATTCAACGATTTCACAAAAACGATGGACATAAAAAAACAAAAAAAAACAAGTCTTATCCAAAACAGGTAACTGAAAATTTTTAAATGATCAGCTTTCCGTTTAACATGGATTTTTTTTTATGTCCATCGTCTTTGTGAAATCGAACTGAATTGTATTTTAATGAATATTGTCTTGAAAAAGGTTTATTAAACCGAAATGTCAGACGTCGACATTTCATTCATTTTAAACATAATTGCATTTAAGGATTTTTGTTTGTTTTTTCCAAATTTTCTTCATATATATATATATATATATATATATATATATATAATACACAAAAAGGTTAATGGTCAGATTTGAATCAGACCAGGAAACAGTAGTATTAAAAAGTGCTCAATACATCTGTGAAAAAAAATACAAAAGTAAAAATAAAATGTAGAGCTTTTAACTTTAAAAATCAGGAGGTCAGTGGAATCTGCTTACCTTGGTTTCAACCTTATGGTATCCTCATCAATTTATCAAAATTTTGTTAAAGCACCTGAGTATATCATAAGGTTGAAACCAAGGTAGCAAATACAACTTACCTTGTGATTTTTAAAGTGTGTGTATATATATATATATATATATATATATATATATATATATAATTCAGCCGGGTTTTGATCCTAGTTAGAGACAACTGGATGTCTAGCCACACTGATGAACTGTGATACAGTGAAACAGTCTGTCTCTGGATATACATATATATATGTAAAAATGTAAAATTCAGACTAAATTTACTTACTAGTCATATTAAATTTTGTGGTGACTGGTTTTTCCAGGTCTTCCCAATCAGGGGCATCATTGTTGGCAAAATCAATTTTTTTTCCAATTTCCTCAGTATCTCTGAATATAAGGAAATCACAGGAGGTTCCACCGAGGCGGAGATAAACTGGAGACAGTCCTTTTGCCAATGTCTTCAGCTTTACTGAACTGGAAATTTAACAATCAATTTATTGTTTCATTTGATTAAGTTAATAACTGAAAATGAATTATAAGCAATTTGTATGTAAAAAAAAAAATGACCTCCAATTATAAAGGAAATGATCAATTCTGTAACAATAATATTTCTTTTTTCTTGATGTAAAGTGCCTTGATGATGTAGATGATCACAGCTCTCAATAGATTTCCTTTCCTGTACTCTGAATAGTCGTAACTTCACTGTTAATTGAGCTTCCAAGATAAATAAATTTTTAATTTGGGATATATATATATATATATATATATATATATATATATATGTAAGCAAATATATGGATATAGATCTGACAGTATGAAGAAAAATATACGGAAAAAACAAACAAAAATCCTTATATGCAATTATGCTGTTTTAATGTTAATATAATGTCAATGTCAGACGTTTTGGTCTAATAAACCATCTTCAGGACATATTCATAAAATATAATTAACATTATCAATTCAACATGACAAACAACGTGACCATGTTTAAACGGAATGCTGATCTTATAAAACTTTCAGTTATCTGTTTGGATAAGTCTTGTTCTTATGTCCATCGTCTTTGTCATGTTGAATTGATAATGTTAATTATATTTTATGAATATGTCCTGAAGATGGTTTATTAGACCGAAACGTCCAACGTTGACATATTAACATTAAAACAACACAATTGAATATAAGGATTTTTGTTTGCTTTCTTTATATATATATATATATATATATATATATATATATATATATATATTTAGAGAGAGAGAGAGAGACAGAGAGACAGAGTGTGTGTGTGTGTGTGTGTAAAAATTCAGATATATGTAAAAATATATCTGTAAAATGTTAGAATAAGACAAAAGGAAAACTTTTCTTTATCAATACATTTCACCCTCTGATGAAATTTATTGTTTACTCACTTTTATTTATTAATTTACTTCACTTTGCATCCTCCATAGTTTAACTTGACTTTCAAGAATATTTTTGAATGTTCTTAATTTAGAATTTTTTTAAAAACTAATATTTTCATTTCAGTTTATATATTCATTTTGCAAAATAAAATGCTTAGATTTACCTTGATAAACTCCATTAGAGGATGTGCATATAAAAATAAATTTGTTATAAGGTGAAAGTGCTCAATATCAGTCATAGTGCATTTAAAGATAGTTTGAATTCTGACCCCCTGAAAAAAAATAAATAAATAAAACTGAAACCCTTATTTCTTAATAATCACAATCAATAATAGTTGTTGAGAATTTCTCAAGCAAACCAAGAAGCTCTTCAAAAAAATCTCAAGTTGGTCATTGTGTTAGATTTTGGAAAATGGTCTGGGCATTTCCGTACCCTCTGTTTATATAAGCAGTGCACATGACTTCTTGAAAAAGCATCTTTGAAAAGTTCACTGACAAACTGATGCAATTTAATTATGGTGATTATGTTATGGATTGCTTATATACCAATCATATCAATAAGTATATTATTTGCTTGAATTTTTTTATTAAAATAAAAAAGAAATCGCTTTACAATATAAAATTACGATTATAGACCAGTGCAGGGTTTCCCAACCTGAGCAATATTATCCACTGGTGAGTGATTTCAACTATTTGGTGGGTGATGATCACCTGAACATAAAATGGTGGGCGATATGGGATTTTGAGTATTAAAAAAAATGTAGTTCAGCATATGCAACCCCCAAAGGATGTTCAAATAAAATGTGCAAAGAACATGCATAAAAAATACAGAAAACAACAACAACAAAAAAAAAAAAAACAGTAGCCTAAACATGAATAACTGAATCATATTCTGAGATAAGATATAAATATCACCACAAACAATGAATATTTTCATAATTTTTAGTTTTGAGCAGGGTCATTAGCATTTAAATAGTTCTTCAACCAAAAAAATATTACTTACATTATTCAACTTCATTGCCGTCTTCACAACGTTTTGTTATTTGTACACCAAATAAAACTGGATTTTCAAAATGAACCCTTTATTTCATACACCAGGGTAGATTGCTCTAGGGGCAAGGCCTCTTCAAGATGTCTCAGTTATTTCCCTTTAATTCAACTGGTTTGGTTCACCACAGCTGTAGCCTGGTATTGAGCTCACTAGTCTAGCCAACACATTTATCCAATAGGTCATGAGTCCTTGAGGACATTTGTGTATGAATTTCTGGGACTTATAAACCTAATGTCTCTTCACATGTTTTTACCAGTGCTCATATTGTAATGTTTCCGTTATTATTATCACATTTTTTACCAGAGCTTATATTGCAATTTTTGTTGTTATTCATTGCTTTTCTTTAGCACTCCTTATTACTGGTTCCCATATTGTATTCATATCTATACTTGGTTGGCTCAGGAGATTTTTGTGGCCGAGCATATGAGCTGATTCCTTAAGTTTTTGCATTTCCAGTGATGCTCTGTCCTGAGAGTTCAATACCAGCCCAGAGCAATGGTGAACCGAAACTTAGAGTTGACTTAAAGGGAAATAACTAAGACATCAAGATGAGGGATGTGGAACTAGAACAATCTACCCTTGTGGAAGAAATAAAGGGTTTAGTGCAAAATTCCAATCACTGAAAAAGACCGGAGCATACAACAGATGAAAAATTGTGAATATGGCAATGAAGATGAGGATAACAGTCTGAATAATGTAAATAATGTAAGTAACCATAATAACTCATCTCAGAGATATCGACAAAAAATATTCACTGAATTTTTATTAGATGCTAGTAGTGTATATTTTTTTTATTTCATAATTCTGAACAAAAATCATTTCATTTTTTTTGTCCATACTTGTACTGCTAAGCCTAACCATAAAATTAACCTTGACCATAAAAATGAATTATATAGTTTTCAGTGATCAAATTTGTTTGATTTGTTATTTAATATAGTGGCTGCTGCAGCAGCTGCTGCTTCCTGACAGCATTATTACCTCCCTTTGGTATTTGACTAAGTCACCAAGTCATCTTATGAACCAGTAACAAACTTTATCAAACAATTTTGGTATGCTTTTGAATATTTAGGTCGTCAGAGGAAAATTTTCCATGGCAAAATGGGCAATGACAAGAAAACTTCCGACTTGTGAATTAAAACATTGGTTCCTGAATTCGATAACATAGTAATTGTGAGTTCAATCCCTGAGCTTGCTTGTGCAGACTTAGATTCATCAAAAACAGGAAAGCAATAACTGGGCAGGACAAAGAACAAAATGAGATATCTCCATATATGGTCATTAGAATGAGAACAATCTACCTTGTAGATTATTAACCTTTTAGCATTCAGCATGCTCAAATTTGCTCCATAAATATCAGCTCTTAGTCTCATTGTTTGTAGTCAAAAACTCACTGTTTGCATGACTTCCTGTGTTATTTCTGATGTCATCATATATTATGGCGAGTACATATGGGGTGGGTTATGGCCGGCTGAACACTGAAAGCTAATATTTATGGGTAGGGTTTGGGTGTGTTGAATGCTAAAGAGTTTAATAAAGTGTTCAGTGCAAAATTTCCTGAAGGTTACTCAGACTGACAAGCACCTGACAATGGCTGAAACATTGTGATAACAACAAAGATAAATAAAACAGCTCAAGTGTAAATAATGTAAAAAAAAAAAATACTCAACATTTTATATATATACACACATACAAATATAGATAACTATACTCGTTTTGAAAAACCTTCGAATTTTTGATTTGCCAATAATCAAATCAATCTCAAGGGAAAAAAAGGTTTTAAAAAAAGAAAGAGCTACAAACATCAAAGAAAAAAATCGCACAGATGCAGGTTTGAAGCCCAAAGAAAAAACCCCGATATGAGTAAACAACTAACTAACAAAAGATCTCAATACAACCGTAGAGCAGACCTAGATACACCTAGTAAGCCAGACAAACCTACCTAGGTTTCACCTAAACGGATCGACAGGGAAATTTGGCTGACGATCCGTTTAAGTGAAACCTAGGTAGGTTTGTCTGGCTCACTAGATGTACATATATATATATATAATTAATAGTAATATTCGGTTGGTAAAAAAAACCCTCTGATAGCACAACTTGCAAGTATATCGAAACAAATTGGTACCCAAGGAAAAAATTGGGAAAAAAAGAAAGAACTAGAAACAGCCGAACAGTAAGCCAGATTACCCTGAAGATCCATTTAAGTGAAACCTAGGTAGGTTGTTCCTGGCTCATTAGGATATATATATATATATATATATATATATAAAAGGTAGGTACCTCCACGAGATCGCTAAAAAAAGAGCATAGCATGATGAAAAAGATGCCAAACTTGACGAAAACAAAATTTTATCGTCTAAATGTTTGTTATTATTAAGAGGAAAGGTCAAAGTATTTTGGGGGTATTTTTTTCCATTTTTTAATCGTTCCTAGCACGTCCGAAATTTTTGTTAAAAATCTAGTTTTTTTTGAGTCAGCAAAATTGACCATTTTTTTTTCCATTTTAAAAAAAAACTGGAAATCTGACTTTGAAATTTTTTTAAATATCAATTATCATTTTTTCAAAACTTATTTTAAGAAAATCAGAAATTATAATGTTTATTTAAAATATTTTGAACCAAACTTAACTTAGCTTTTGTGCCAAAAAGATGTAATTTGAAAATAAAACAAAGCAGGTCATAAACTTTCGCGTCTCTTGACATGTGATGAATGATATATTTACGAATTCCATGAGGCTAATTTGTTCTCTGGAAGGAGAAAAGTGAAATAATTTACATTTACGTGAACAAATTATTTACCCCGTTATTTTTAACGAAAACTTTCAGCAGTATAATTTTTTTTTTTTTTTTTTTTGTACTTAGCTATCACCTTTACGTTTATGATGCTTTATGGGAAATATATTGTAAACAAATTAAAATAAAACTGTTAAGAGTGACATTAAATTTCATATTTCTTAAGAAAGGTATCTAATTAATTTATAGGTACCTTTCTTATGAAATTTTATCAGAATTGTACATAAAATACTATAATTTTATGTACATTTATTACATTCTACTGTTATTTGTATTTGCATTCATTTTATTATTAATTTTGATATTTCATTTATGGAAAAATGTCGAACTGAGATTAATATAAAAAATAAGATCATATAAATTTCATAAGATGATACTGATACCTGTAGGTACCCTTCTCAGTTGAAATTGAAAAATCAAATTAACTTCTCCACACGTGTTTCGCAAAAAAAGTAAAGGCCTTAACAGCGGAGAACAATGCTTAACTCAAATAACGCAACTTAATTATATTCTGGTTGGTCTTCCGTATTTTATAATTACAGCTCGATTATAAGCACAAAATTACATTTCTTAATTACTGGGGATCTTCTGATTAGTCAAAATGATACAATTTACAACGCGCTAAAAAAAAGATCTCATAAGGACATTTAGGAAAGCCGATGCGACTTTTAACTAATTTTATAATATTTTAACAACTTAAATGTAAAATCTATTATAATTAATGAAATAACAAATAATTGTATTAAAAATTCATTTTTCATTGAAAAATTTTTTGCTTTCAGAAAATATTGTCCATATTCATAAAAACAACTAAAAGCAAATAAAAGCATTTGAAATTAAATAATATCTTTTGTTTTATTGAGTTTTGTATGTTACAATTCAGAGCTGATTTTCAGGTATTGCGTATCCAATTAAAAAAAAACAAAAAAAACATGATTTGCATTCCTCAAAGCCCTGTGCTTTTAATTATTGTAATCACTAAAACCGATGCGATCAATTTCTAGCGTTTTCATAAAATTAGTTATGGGGGGGTAATAAATATTTTTAAAAATATTTCTACCATGACTTTCATAAAAAAAAAACATATTTATAATAATTTCGATCATCTGTGAATAGTTCCTGAAAGTTTCATTAACATCCGATAATTATTTCTATTTTTGCACGATTTTTTCAAATTAATGTGTGTCATACCAAAAAAACGTGCTAAAAATTGTCTATGTTATTTACTAGTTCCGCTGATACAAATAGAAAAAAGGTTTTTTTAATCAAAATTTAAAAAAAAGGTTTTTTTAATCAAAATCTAAAAAGGAAAATTTTTTAAAAATAAATAAAAAAAAAACTTTGGTCTTTCCTCTTAATAATAACATAAGCATTTAGACAATAAAATTTAGTTTTCGGCAAGGTTGGCATCTTTTTCATCAAGCTATGCTCTTTTTTTAGCGATTTCGTGGAGGTACCTATATAAAGGCCAAGGGAAAGGCAAATGTAAAACAGTAATTTCTGATTATCGGTTGAGGCTCCCTCAAGGAATATTGAGAACCAGTTGGTGTAAGAAATTTCCAAAAGGAGTCAATGAAAAATAAATAATGGATCAAAAGAAGACTTATATGGAATTTGTTATTGAAATTCCTGATCATTTAAAGACATACACATCCCTTTCTCATAGATGGAGAGTCACAAGTGTCTCGCGGCTCTATTTCTATTTCGGTAGAAAGTGCTCAGATGAACTACATTCTTTAGTTCTACAAGTTCTAACCTTTATGAATAAGACCCACCATGCAACACACATTTTAGCAAACCATGCTCATTCTATTTGTATTCCTTTAGTGAGATGTAAGTTCTACCCAAGTAGCTTCTTCCCGTTTACAGCTGCTTTGTGGAGCTGACTCCCAAGAGGATGCTTCCCGAATCACTGCACTCTTAACTTGTTCAAGTCTAGGTCAACTTCCCCACATATCTGCATAAACTGTGCTTCTTACACTGTAACACTCAAGTGGTTCCTGAGGCTTGTACAGGGCAAACAACATTGTAAAAAAATAAAATAAAAATAAATTTAGATGGGCTTTAATGAGTTTAATAGACCTTATTCTAGTAATAAAGAAACATTTGTTTTCCCTCCCAAAGTAAGTCTACTGATGATGAGAGGTGTTATGACAATGATATAGGTAATCATAGTTCAGTTAAGAATGTTATTGAACAAACCCAAGTGTTCCATGAAGTAGGACATGAGATAAACCTTTCCAAATCAGAAAATATGATTTGGAATTGGAATGAAAGCAGATAACAGTAATGATAAATAATAATAATAATTTTCTAATAATTGTCTAAAGAAATCATAACATAATTTAGCATTAATAATAAAAATTTACACATAAATTCTATATAGGTAGTATTTCTCTGGAGGTTTAATTATAAAATAGCAACTGTTTCAGCTACTGGGTCGTACATATCTGGCAAGGACCCTAATACAGAAACATTTAAAACCTTCTCAGTAGTACGACAAGGTGAAAATGAAAGCTTCAACTATGCCCTGTGCATTTACAAACACCGATGAGATAAGATGGGCACTGACTATCTAAGCATTCCATAAAACATAAAAAAACGAATCTACTAATAAAGACAATGATTCAGTTTTCCTTCACAAGTGCAATGTCCTGAAAATGTTATGCTGATGGCATAGGTAATCATTATTGGGATAATAACAATCTTGAATGGAAACCAACATATCTATGAGATGTTTCAATAAATCAGACTCAGGATAAACCTTTCCAAAACAGAAACTATGATTTGAAATTAGAATGAGATCAGTGACAATAAATAAAATAATAATAATATAAATTAGAAATAAAATAAAACAGATAACATTTAAACTGTTTAAAATAAATTAAATAAAAAGCAAAAATAATAAAAATAAAATAAAATAAAATAAATTAAATAAAAAGCAAAAAATAAAGAAAATAAATGAAATAAAAAGCAAAAAATAAAGAAAATAAAATAAATGAAATAAAAAGCAAAAAATAAAGAAAATAAAATAAATTAAATAAAAAGCAAAAATAATAAAAACAAAGAAAATAAAATAAATTAAATAAAAAGCAAAAATAATAAAAACAAAGAAAATAAAATAAATTAAATAAAAAGCAAAAATAACAAAAACAAAGAAAATAAAATAAATTAAATAAAAAGCAAAAATAACAAAAACAAAGAAAATAAAATAAATTAAATAAAAAGCAAAAATAATAAAAATAAATAAAATAAAATAAATTAAATAAAAGGCAAAAATAATACAAATAAAATTCACCCAGCATGCAACAAAAACTGTTCCTACCAGAAATATGGACATCCCACTAAAAGACGTTAAGTTGAAGCTCTTCGACAACAACCTTGGGACAGTCAACATGTGTCCAACATCTCTTTCTGCGACATGGCATGGAATGTCATGCAGTAACTTTTTCCTTTCATTACATGCAATCATTATACATTTGTAATGAAAAATACACACACCAGTACACATAAAAATAAGTATATTGTATGATATTGATAAACAATTCACCATACTTTCAATGCTATCTCTGTATATTCTATTTTCTGCGATGTATGTATTTATTTACAATACATGAGGCTATTTCTGCTGCTATTATGTGAGTGACCCCCACAATAGCACATACCCTTAAGGCTCAAATACTTCATGAAAATTTCTGTGGAGTTAAATACTAAATACTTCATAAGTTCATATACCTTGTTGTAGTGATCAAATTTAGTATAAAAGATTGTTAATTGAATAAGGAATAGGCCACACTAGATGGTTAGGTTTTTACTTTTTTGTCCAACAAGACAAGATGGTAAAAAAAAAAAAACTGACCTAAGAAATTAGACTCATGTCTTTAAATAAATAGCCTCATCAGATCTAGTTTTCATATGGATGTCATGCATAGTGTACAATCTGTTAAGAAATGTCTTCTTAACAATCAACTGCATACAACCACTTTCTCAGATTTAATAAATTATAAAAATGGCTTCAAGTGAATTAATTCTGTCAGTTTACTTCGAACTTGTGATCGGTGTGATAGAATTACTAAGAATTTTTTAAAATAATGGAAATCACATTTACTTGAAAACTTTCCACAATTATTATGAAACAGTTGTCACAGTTGTTCTTATGTTGTTGTTGTTTTTTTAATTAGCATTCAGCAAAATTGTAAACAAAGTCAAAAGGCAATTGCAAAATTTTACATTACAGTAGAAAAATGATCTTTCGAACAAAGTGGTCCACTCACAAAAAGCGGGGGGAATATTTTTTTGTGAATTAGAATTCTTTAGAGTAAATCTTCCTTAGGCCATGACACTTATCAGAATCGAAAAATATTCATTTGCTTATTCTGAAAGAGGAGAGGGGGGAAATAACATCGATACAAACAATGTTTTATTGATCCCTGATTTTGAAAAGTTATTGGTCTTGTTGAGTTTAGGCTAAAAAATCCCTTTGCTGTTATTTTTACAAATTTCAAGTTTGAAAATGTACTAAACACATTCATTATTTTCATTTTTTCTTTTTTTATATATTTTGTGAAAGTTTTTACATTTTTTTAATATTGTTTTTGAAACCGATGGACATTTTCAAAAAAAGACAAACAAATTATTTATCTTAAATTAAATAAGAATAAGCGGATATGTAATTTAGTAAATTTTTGTTCTTTATGTTTGTTCGTTAACTAACATAAATCATTTTTTTTTTTTTTTTGGTATCTTCATCTTAAAAAATACTTTTATTTTCGTATGCAGATCAGCTTAGCCTGGGATCGATTTGACACTGTAGGACCGCCCCCTTTTGAAATCGATAACAAATCAATGTTTCTTATTCTGCTAAAAAATGACGCGGCCCAAAGAAGGTCTAAAAAAAAAAAAAAAAATGACATACAATGATTTTTTTTTTTTTTTAAAATTTCCACGATTTTTTATGAAATAGTCCGGTCTGAGTAGACTTAATTTAATCTCCGCCTAGCATGTTATCACAAAAAGAAAAAAAAAAGAAATGAAAATATGAAATAACAAAACAAAACCTGGTGTCAAAGTGAGCCCAGTCATGCCTGATAATACTTGTGTCTAGAGTTAAGGAAAGAAACCGATCATCTATTGTTTTAATTACGGAATCCAAGTTGATTCGGGCGGTAAACAGCCGGGTATTTGCATCGAATGAGATGTTCTCACTGGCATCGGCAGACAACAACACATTTCCATCACAAGAATACAGAAAGAAAGAAAAGAATAACAGAAGAAAGAAAAAAGTTTGTTGCAACATAACACTTGGACAAGTTTTTTAAAGGACAATGGCGAGTTTTAGTTGTAAGTTTTTTTTTTTTTAACAGTAACAACACAGACACGTTTTTTTTTTTATCTCCCGTATATATTCTTAAAAGTTATTTGGTGTTCTCTCCAGGCAAACACGGAAATGTTTAAAAGATACTAGATAAAGGAGGAAATAATTAACTTAAGTTTTTCTTTTCAAATATAAACGCACAAAGCAATTATGATGAACCAGGATGTACTGTGACGAGAAACAAACTAGTCACGTGTTGGTTTCATCAAGCGGACACCATAAAAGATGTAAACAACACCCCTTTGAATTTAGTTTATTTTCTTCGTGAAAAAAAACACAAATGAAATACAACAGATTCTTATTTATAAATGTTAAAAACGAGCCTGCAATACGAATTGTATTTCTTTTAGGTTTGTGTACACTTTTAAATTAGTAGGGATAACCAGGACAGGTACCCCGCAGTAAATCGTGATAGATGGACGACAGTTCAAGGGAAATAACTCTAAAAATAAAGCAGGAAATGTATTTGAACAATATTTTAATATTTGTCTTTACATGTACAAATATTTTCACATGTACAAAAATAACAAATACTTTTTTTGCATAAAATAATATAATACAAATATTATATTATATAAAAATACTATAACATATTATATAATATAAAGATAATATAATAAATGCAATAATATTATAAATATATATATATATAAAATGTAAATAAAAAAATAAATACTTAATAAGTGTACACACACACACATATATATATATATATATATATATATATATATATATATATATATTATAAATTAATTGATTTAAAATATGGTTTTTTCCGCTACACAGTTCTAACCATGTCTCAAAAATGGAAGCTAAAAGCCCCGAATTTAATTTTGTAATTAAATTAAAGACATTATTTCCATTTCATCCTCAAGCAAATTTTGGAGTAACTTTTAAAATCACTGGGTTTTAAATACACAGCTAAAACAAAATTCATGTTTCCAAGGCTACAGATAAATCTATCTTTCTAGACAGGGGTGTCTACGTGTTCAATATGTCTAACACCGGATTATATATCTTACTGTTCTTACTTTTTATTTATATACATACATATATATATATATATATATATATATATATATATATATATATATGATGAAGCATATTTCTCCAGTCATAGTAAATAGTTGGATTCTCAATGAGGTGCCTTGACTTGAATGCCTAATGGGATTAAAGTTCACTCCAGACCTCTAGTGGAATTCATATATAAAATACATTGCTAACAAGCCTTTGAAAATGATTAGATTTTTGTACTATTCCAGAAATCCCCCATCTCCTCCTACATCTGTCTTTAGTAGTGTTAGATTAGACAAAAAAAAATGGAGTATTGCTGCCGTATCTGGACTGGAGCTAACCAGTCCTTGTTTTCAAGGAACAATGCATGGGTTACAAGCCCCATCCATGAATCTATGATAAAGTCTACTACATCTTATTTTTCATAAAGTGCTATTCATATAAAATACAAATTTTATTGCAACCTAACCATGTGCAATAATTGCCATAAAGGAGGGCTTGGAAAATATGATACTCAGAAAACATTGGGCAAGAGCATCAGAGGAAGACAACATATAAAATATGTACTGAGCTTGAGCAAATGGATGGAAGTTCAGGGCTTAGGAGTAATAACAGAAAGACACAGTTTATTAAAAACTAAAAGGTACAGGAAATTGTGGCAACCCATGATCACCTATGTCATGTGAGGACAGGGTATATAAAGAAAAAACAGATCATTCCATCTTAAATCAACAATGTTTTGTGGCAATTTTTAACATCAACTTAAAATTTTTCTCTGTTAAAAAGTTGAATAATTTTGACTCATTTAACATTATGGATAAAAATAGTGAATTTTATATAGCATTTTTTTTAGAATAGGCATAAGCAAAAAAATAGATTTGGGTAAAAAAAACAAAAAAAACAAACTCAAAATGACATGAAAATCCACAACATTTTTTCATCCTTTAATAGTTGTACTTAGATTAATTTGTAACATATATAACTGTAGGTAGAATAAAGCAAATGTTGATAAGATATCAAAGGTTACAAAGCACTGTCCGAGGTGGGTGGGTCTCTCCAATAAAGCTTGCTTCCCCTAGTCTTGTTTTATGGTGGCAGTACATGTTCAGATGAGTTTTATTCCTTAGTTCCACTAGTTCAGACCTTTACATTGTCAGAGTTTTCTCCTCCTTAATTGTCCAAATTGTTCACTAGGGGATGCTCTCCCTACACTATAAATACTGGGCGATTTCTTGCCTCGTTCTTGTTTTAATTTCTTCATTTTCAATGAACACATCTACAATGTAAGCTCTCACAGAAGATTGTGTCTTCCCATTTGTGGGAGACGCCATGAACATTATACATACATACATGTACATATGAACATTCACCAAAATACAAACTCTTTACGTTCACACAAACATAAATGTTAATGTCTATGTTCATTGTAAATTTTGTTGTTTAATACATATATTTGTTGATATATATATATATTGGACGTGTTGGTTTTCTTTACACTTCTTTATGGTGGATTCAATCTTTGAGTCTGCTATGTTCTAGTAGTGGGTCTTCTTCTAGCAGGAATAAACATGTGTGTTCCTAATTTAACAACACGTAAACCCATGGTCTGCTACAACAGCAATAACTAATAATTCTGCATATATTATGTTTCATTTGTTCTCATTCCTGTTATATTCCATTGGTAAGAAAGAAGTTACATTCAGACAGCTTCTTCCCAAGAACTGCTACTTTGTGGAACAGGCTCCTGAGAGGATCTTTTCCGATCACTACGATCTAAACTTCTTCAAGTCTACAGTCAACTATTATCTATCCGACATCTCCTCATAATCTGCAGTTTTGACTTCTCTGCAAGAACCTCATTCAGTAAGCCTCCAATTTGAGTGTCTCTTAGACCTTTTATTGTGGAAACAATAGTATATAAAAATCATAAAAGAAAAAGCGTTATGATAATTCCCAAATATGCTTTTCACAATCTTTTTTTTTTCACCTCAAGCAAGATGATAAAGCCACTAAGATGCAAGCGGGTTATAGAAAGTGGAAGAAAATGAGAAGGGCCTTGTGAAGAGAAAGGACAATAAAAGAACAGGATTTACAAAGACAAAAAATTGTGATCGATGTTGCATCTAAATTTTTTATGATCATACTTGATATGATAGCAACAAGCCATACAAATATTCCATAAGTAAGAAGTGCAGCAGCAGAGACCATTTGAATAAAATTACAGAGAGAAAACAGAAGGTAACCTACTTAATGAGTATCAATGAATGGATAACAGAACGAAGGCAAGATTGGTAAATGGTCAAATGCTACTGAGAATAACAAGAATTTGAGAATATTCATCATTACCCACATTAGGAAAGGACAGAGCTCATTAAATTCATCATTGCCAACATTAGGAAAGGACAGAGCACATTAAACTCATCATTGCCCATATTGGGAAAGGACAGAGCTCATTAAATTCATCATTGCCCATATTGGGAAAGGACAGAGCTCATTAAATTCATCATTGCCCATATTAGGAAAGGACAGAGCTCATTAAATTCATCATTGCCCATGTTAGGAAAGGACAGAGCTCATTAAATTCATCATTGCCCATATTGGGAAAGGACAGAGCTCATTAAATTCATCATTGCCCATATTAGGAAAGGACAGAGCTCATTAAATTCATCATTGCCAACATTAGGAAAGGACAGAGCTCATTAAATTCATCATTGCCCATGTTAGGAAAGGACAGAGCACATTAAATTCATCATTGCCCATATTAGGAAAGGACAGAGCTCATTAAATTCATCATTGCCCATATTAGGAAAGGGCAGAGCTCATTAAATTCATCATTGCCCATGTCAGGAAAGGACAGAGCTCATTAAATTCACCATTGCCAGCATTAGGAAAGGACAAAGCACATTAAATTCATCATTGCCCATATTAGGAAAGGACAGAGCTCATTAAATTCATCATTGCCCATATTAGGAAAGGACAAAGCACATTAAATTCATCATTGCCCATGTTAGGAAAGGACGGAGCTCATTAAATTCATCATTGCCCATATTAGGAAAGGATAAAGCACATTAAATTCATCATTGCCCATATTAGGAAAGGACAGAGCTCATTAAATTCATCGTTGCCAACATTAGGAAAGGGCACAGTACATTAAATTCATCATTGCCCACATTACGAAAGGACATGTCAGATTAAATTTATAATTTGAATTTTTCTATCATGTTAAAGTTATCATCAATTTGTGAGAATGGTCAAATAGAATCCAACCTCTATTTTCAGGTAATTATTTGAATCAAATGCCCTTACAGTGGAACCTTGGCTCAGGAATTTAATTTGTTCCTGTAAGCCATTCATAACACAAAATGTTTGTAAACTGAAACTATTTTTCCAGTAGAAATCAATGTAGAGAAAAAAAACGGTCACTCTCCACCTCCCACTATCCCTTTCAGCTCTCAGCAAGCTCCTTACCTCTGCTTCCTCCCCCAGACCACATTCTCTCATCCACCTGCTCAAACTCATCAGGTATATCACACACTGCTCTGCTGTGTCTCTCTTTCCCTCTATTCAACACATGAGGATCAGATTCTCCAGGCCCTCCTACGTCATTATCTGTCCCAGAAACTTCAGCTGCCTCTTTCTGATGTTAAGAATAAGCTTTCTCCTTGTTTGTAATCTCACTAAGACCTTGTCATTGCTCACTTGCTTGGTCCATAGAACTCAACAAAAAGCCATAATTCAAAAACATGTTTCTGTTGAAAATGTATTCTTACTCAGTAACTTTTATTGTATTAAGAAGCTATTATTAGAATTTAAAAGTCATAAAACTTATGAAACTGAATTTTTATGCTTTTCTCGAAAAATGCTAACAAAAAATGTTATACACTATTTATCCAATTCAGTAATTTATT